ACTTTGATTCCGAGACCAGTTGAATAGCTGGCTAGAAGCAACATAGCAACAGTATATCGCAATTCACAACCTAATGTAGGATCCCAATGTCTCAATAGCCCCACAATCATAAACTTTGTGAATTATTGGAAAATAGAAAAGCTACAATCAATACTGTGAGCAATGGAGCTCGGTAAATTTTCTTGCTTTTATGTGGGTAATAGCAGGAACAGTGAAAGGCAGAGTCAAGGAGTTTTGGCCGTCTAAATAATGTCCGGACCTTATCTGCAGCAGCTATTGATGCTAGGCAACATCAACCACTTGTGGAATCAGCTCTGTCAAGCATTCATCTTCTCATCTCAACAGCAAACCTTTTTTGACAGAAAATCTTACAAGTGTACCAAACTGTGATCCTCGATAGGCTGTCTCCCTTCAGATTGAAAGAACAAATTAAGTACAAGATTAATCTGTCTAAGTGTTAAATGGCTTCTCCTTGTCTCCAGCCAGAATCCCCAACGTGTCACACAAATCAGTTTATTTGTTATATCACTCAATTGCAAGGCATGAGGCAGCAGCGGCCTTAAGTACAGGGCATGGCACTAAGAATAAGATAGCAGTACTGAAAGACAGAAACAAGACAAATGTAATTTGCTTTTATCGGTTGGGATGGGACGACCTGCGACCTAGCCTATCTATTGCTGGTGGTAATGACAGAAAGAACACTGCAGAACAAAGACGGATTCTAAGCTTTTCCCCACATGATTGCTATGCATTCTTTAGTGTTGGACACCACTGAATAATTCAAATATCAAATTAAATGAAGAACAAAAACATGCAAGCAATCTCTTTTCTAAAGAAATTTATAATTTGTATCAGTATCTTAGGTAGGAAATATTTTTGTAAAAACTATAAGGATCAAAATGAAAACATTCAAAACCATTTTTTCTATATATGAACTCGAGACTTTTGATATAGGACAGAGCAGATCTGATAATGTGGACTGATTGGAGTCTAATCAGTTTGTGTGTTTTTTAGCGAAGCACTCCGGTATTTTCCAGTTATATGATGGCAGCCTGTAAATAATCAAGTTTTGGACCCACGCAACTTGGGTAGGATGACGCACGAGCAGTCACCAAGCTTGACCATGTTGTATGACCAGCACAGGTTGCTGGGGACCTACCCTCACCCAGAATCCCCTGTGTCATCCAATCAGTACAACAGCATACTTACATCCCGATTAATGCCATTAGTGGTTAACTAGCACAGTTGAGTTGATAAACGTTTGGTATCTACCTTCATGAAATCCACCCAACTGAATATTGCTCACTATAACACTATAACAGCTACCCATCCCAGGATGTATATGTACAGTTATCAATCGCGAAGGAGGAGGGAAAGAGGGGGGAGGGGAAGAGAGATTGAGGGGAGAAGAGGGTTGTCAGCACCATACCCATGCGTGTTGGCTTTCCTCCCACAAAAAGCTGACAATCCATGGTATAACCCAACTCACTCACTCACTCACTCACTCACAAATTTCTTGTAAACATTCATCAGTTGATGTGAGAGTCTTGCCCAGTAGAAGTGCCTTGGTACAAAAGTCAACATAACCTGTAGGTCTTCTGCGATTAAAGTCCCAAGCAGGCTGACTCAGAGCTACTTGACCACAGCGCTGTTGATTCCTGCCCCCCGCCACAGCTAAATACACAGCGACTTCAAACACAAACCTGTGTAATGGCTTGGTTTATCAACAAATGGTGGCTAATGTGGGATCTGTAATTGGTACTGAGTGTTCCTCAAGTAGATAGCACTGGACAGGGCATCTAATGGCCAGTCAGACCAGGGGGATAAGCAAGATAATTGACAATGTAAATCAAGACCATATGAATATTTGATAAACCTAAACATACTGGAGACTGCCCTTTGACACTGGGGTAGGATTTGTGTCAAATTGGAGATGTTGTAACTTGTAATTACATTCAATGTTTATGTCAGTTTGTAAATAAATGTTTGGTAATTTGACAAGATTTATGAATATTACAGAATTAGGATAGGAATTATGGAAATTTCTTATAAATGTATTTGATAGTTTAGAAGAATGGTTTGATGTCATTCAAATGATAATGTTGTCTACGATTTAAAATAGGCTCAAAGTGTTCCTCATCAGTGTTGTAGTCTATCATGGATGTATCATGATGGTAGACTGCTGGAGTAGGCTGGTGTAGGCTGGTGTAGGCTGGTGTAGGCTGGTATTTCCATGCCTGACTCAGCATATGATCTAAATCACTTTTACAGAGCAGAATTACACCATACACCACCAATTCAAAACTCACTTTTTCACCCTATCATAAAACGATAACCACATCATGTGTTAACTGAATCCAGACTGCACAGGAAATCAGACCTCGACAAAGCACATTGACATCTCAAAATCTAAAACCTGTACCCTATCTCTGTTCAATCTCGATCAAATACATATCAGGGGAATATATTCAAAGGAGTTTATTTAATATCAACCAAGAGAGTTTTTATCAGGCACCATATGGCCATTAATTGTCTTGTTAAAAGCTTGGATGCCTTCCAGTCAAACTGTTATGCAGTTTGCACATGTTTATCAATAAAGAGTATATCTTGAAATAATCAGCACTCAGGCGTTTAATGGAGCATTTCCATAGATGACCTTAATTAAGATTGCCAGTGTACAGCAGTCACCTTAACATCTTCAAAGATAGCAACTTTGATACGTCAAAACTACAAGAATGCAGCTCTGGGATTTGTCAGCTCCAGAAATTGAGGATAATTAATCTTGATGTGTTTTTTAAAAGTTCTTAATAGAAATATACATAATGTCAGGTGACAGTGACATTGCAAAGAACACAGCAGCAGTATAATGTTAATTATAAAAGTGTTTTCTATCAACATCAAGTCCATTTGTTTTGGGAAAGTATGCATAGCAGACACAGTGAAAGAAGAAAACTATAACCTGCTATGCTGAAGATGTCCCAGTCTTTGTATGAGTAGACCTTGATTGTTTTTATAGGTAAATATGCTAAGAGCTAAGAATATGATTTTGTTTTCCTAAATGGAAAAACAAATTGTTAATTATTTCCAACTTAGATTATTCAGACTAAGATGTTTCTGGATGAACAAGTTCAGGATTAAACAGATTAAAGTCGATTGAAGAGATACAGTTAAATGTTGAATTTGATGGTCATGGTTTATTCCCCACCATAATGGTATTATAATAATTATTTTGATAAAAGATTGAATGAAGCAAACACAACTGCCTTCAGCCAACATGGATGAGGCTGATAAGTGAGTGAGTGGGTTGGGTTTCATACTGCTTTGAACAGTTTCCCAATTATATCATGGCATGTCAGCTTGATGTGGGAGGAAAGCCCCAAGTGATGCAGGTCTTGGACGTTTACCATAAGGGATGCATGAGGATAAGAAGGAGAGATCTGCATCATATGTATATAGATGTAACCATTATACTATTTTCCAGTCTACAAAAAAAATGTTTTAATGTTTGAATTTGACAGAGCTTCCTTTTAAAAAACATTTTTTTAAACTATCAGAAAACCTAAACATGTATAAATCTGATCTGACATGGGAAGTGGCCAACAAAGAAACCCCAGAAAGATCTATTGAAAAGAACAGTTTATCAATGGTGGCCAAACAATTTTCCATGGCTACAGTGGCAGAACCTCCTGTGTAAATACGGCTAACAATCTTTTATTCCTTTATCTGAGGTGAAATGTTTAACCAGTAAACTGTTCTTTGTTCGTATACATCCAAACGCCGAAATCACTTATACGCCAGCCATGCCTTATCAACCAGACATCATTCAGTGGCCATTTTGAATTTGCTTCTTTAGAAAAACTGATGAAAGAATCAAACTTGTTTGATAATCAGTCAGTGAGTGGCCCTTGCCATTCCAAACAAACAGCTTTACTTTTTAGACAAAATGACAATTCAAGCATTTTATTTCGGTTACAAGGCTATCAGAAGGCAAATGTTTGATATGAATCTGTTGAATCCAAGGCAGGGACGTTTATGGAAATGGAAAGTGCTACCAGTGTGAAACAACTCTGTGTAAATATAACCACAACAGAAGTGATATTTTAAAGAAAGAAAGGCCACAATATAATTTTCTGTATGGACATGACAGATATTTTAAAGCTGTCCTATCTATGAGAAGCATCAAAGGAAGCGTGACTGGGAGAAGAGTCTGTATATATCGTTGTTGACTCACACCCAGTCAATGCCACACAAAGGTGCTAGGCGGAACTGTTGTCCAACCTTTACTGCATTACTTAGGTCCGCATGGAAGTAACATTGATAACAAGTTTGTTTGTTTGTTGTTTAATGCCACACTCAGCAATATTCCAGCTCTAAGGAGGCAGTCTGTAAGAAATCAATTCTGGACCAGACAATCCAGGGATTGACATTATGAGCATCGAGCTACACAAATTGGGATACAATGACATGCATCAACCAAGTCAGTGAGCCTGACCACCCAATCCTGTTTGTTGCCTCCTATGACAAGCATGGGTTGCTGAAGACTCGGATCTTCCCAGGGGAATAGTTTGAATTATATATGGAAAAGGAAATCCCAGAGGATGTCAGAATGTTGTTTGGGTTTGATTCCAAGCCTATACACACTGGAAAACAGATTAATGGGGTCTGCTTGTTTATGTTTTCACAAATCACTCACTTATTCAAATACATAATCATATTCATAAAGTGTATGTGTGTGTGAATTTTGATTAATTCCGCAGTCAGCAATATTCCAGCCATATAACATCAGCCTGTTAATAATCAAGTTTGGATCCGTCAAACCAGTGATTGATGTTGTGAACAGTGTGGGGTATAAGTAATTGCTATCTGATGTTAACAAGGTAGCCAGATCATTAAAAAACCATCCCCTTCAAGCCGAGATTGATGGTCAACAAATGCATGGATTTCAATGCTAGCAATAGCAGGACAGTGATTGGATATTGATAGTGTTTGGAATGCCCTACCTGGAACATCAGGGTCAGTCTTGTTGTACACGACGTCACGTGGGGGGGCAAACCGAGACGCGGCAGACAGGAAGGAGCCATGTTTACGTTTCGCTGCTTCAGACCGAGGCAGAGACTTCTCGTACTTCATCTGTGAGCGTTCGTAAGATTTGACCACATCGTAAGATCCAGGAGGTGGCAAGTCCTGAAATCAAAAGCCAAACTTCAGTCAATTCAGACAAAAAAAGATCAATTGATGTGGTTGCATTCCAAGATTGGCATTAGGAAACATCAAAGTTTAAAAATGTCTGATTGATGAAAAACTATAATGAAGTAAGATCAATGTTGCTTTTCTGGGTTAAACATCACTTGGAGATGTAATCATTAGAAAAAAAATAATCCTAAAAATACATACTTCTGAACAGTTCCTTCAAATGTACAAACGTGCATAATCACTGTGACAAGTGGTATGTTCCTGTGGGAGTAGAAGTTAATGCAACCATGTGATGATAAAGATTGCATCGATTTTACAAACATAGTTGACTAAATATACATCCTTCTACAAATTATTATATTTTCTGGTTATTTGAAACAAATTATCTGCATCTTTCAAATATCTATGAACTCATGAACTTGGAGCTGGATGTAACAAGACTCTGAAAGGCATCTGTTCGAACAGGTATACCTGCTCCTGTTTGTCTGTGCAGTGACTATATTAACACAACATCCTCTTAGCCTCAGCAAGTGGAACACAGATATGGCAAGGTGGAATAAACCGCAAATAATTCCTCATAAAAGTCTGAATAACGTTTCCACAAAGTAAATCTATCAATAACCGAACTAGCTATTTCAATCTGGCCTTCAATCAGTACAGTTTTATGGCTGTAGACAAATAAGCCTTAAATAAACTTCTTCCCACGATCAATAAATCATTTTAACGCTTTCTCTGATATTTAGATCTGTCCTACTGGGAGCATGGCGATTTTATAGATGGTTTATTCCAAGCATTGATCATGTTCTCGAAGGTAAACCTATGGTCACCTTTTCATCTGCCGTGTCTAGCCATCTCTAATTAATTCTGCGTTATTTGATACAAGACTTATAACATGATGTGATTGTATTAGTCATTCAGTACTTCTACCTGAACCACACCACTACCTTTGCCATTTACATCCCTCCTGCAGCAGTTTGTAACCTTTGTCATGGTATATAATCCTGATCAAGAATATTCTTAGAAATTACACACAATTGTTCCAAATGACCTTATGCTATGTATTTACTATGTTTTAGGATAATTAGACCTGAATGAAAAATCTGAATGAATGTCTTCTGATACTTGATCTTCCAGCCTTTATTGATGATAATTTAAGAAATTACACTCATAAAAATATAGATAAAGATATATAACCGATTTAAATGGCTGACTCAAAATTACAAGCGCACTATTACAATGGGCAGTGTTAAAAAACAATAGCTGATCTTCAATACAGGACATCGTGAAACAAGGCAGATAATCCTGCAGTAGTTTAACTTAACAGCATACTGTAAGAAAACACTGACAGAAAACAATGTCAAGACTTACTGGCGGTCACCAAAACTCCTTTGTTACATAAAAATGTCATATCTCATTAGTCACTCCCTTGTCATCTCTAATTAAGCTAACGGGATGGCTCTACATGGGAGAAAGACAGGGATGAATGTCCCCAATGTCTGCTTGCTCGTGTTGCAGATAGTCAAGGAACATTGGTGACTGCAAGCCTCAAAATTGGGACGAAGTTTAGCTCGGAATTTCTCTTGACATGTGTAGGGCATTTTTACTACTTCTAACTTAATCATCCCTAAGCATTACTTGCATTCAGTGGATGAGAAACCAGGAAGATGGGAGATCCAGAATATTAGAAAATATCCTGCTATTAAAAACAAGCCGGAATATGCAGCAAAGAATGTTCTTCAAGACTTGTGTTGGTTGTAAAGTTTCTTTAATCCATTATTCTGATTACACAGTTAAAACCAACAAAACATATGTGACATTGAAGAATTTAAAATCTGTTTTCCATGATGAAAAATTCTTATTATTTTTACGCCGTCAGTTCCACCTATATTTGCCCTCTCCAAAGTATTTGAGTTCAAACAGTTATCATTCAGTTCATGGTCAGTGAGGATTTTTTAAAACGTTATGTGTTTGAAGAGTAAGTGAATGAGAGAACACTGCAGTCAGCAGTTATATGTTAGTCATGGCAGCCTGTAGATAATCGAGTGTGGACACACAAACCAGTGGATGATATAATGAGCAACAAACCAGCTGTCAGGTACAGCACAACAAGTCACCGAGCCTGACACTCAGACCAGTTGACTCAGCAATAAGCAAGAGAGTGCAGGGAGCTTTTTCAAACCTTGGTCCCAATCATGGCTAAAATATGTTTGGAATTGTTTTGAAATAATATTATCTTGTATTTTGAACAAAATGTAAATTCTTAAAACAGAAGCCATAATTCCCAACAGTGAGAGCCATGCAGCTGCTGTGGACACGTCACTGCAAAGTACATCGATGTACCTTGAGCTGATAACAAGGTAAATACAGCACCCAAGGATGAAGAGGGCAGACGAAGCATGCTCCAACAACATTAATTCCTTGTCACGAAATCTACCATTATGAGATGATATACCACCCTCACAGAATCCTGTAGCCATATTTTACATGTAATTTACTGCATCAGAGGCTCGACATCAGGTCCCCCTGTTTACATGACAGGGACTCTAAGTAGGTATGATTTATTGGAAAGCTGTGTATGCAGCAGCCATGTTGTTTCAACACCCTGACAAGCGCCGTCTATTACCACACATCTAACCACACTGTCTGTGGATCAAGTTCAACGGAAATGTAAAGATTTGAATTTGAAAACCATCTGTACATGTACATGGACAATTAACGCTCTAGGCTAACACTGTTTTGTTTCACTGTCAATTATAGTTCTGGTCACAGATTTAATTGGAGGATTAGATTCTTTTTAAAATCAAATTCTCCTCGTATTATTTTGCCTAATTTGACAGACCTGAATGGGATATTGTGGGAGAAGTAATGAAATTGTGTCCTGACATGCTTCACTACAACTAAGAAGTGAAATATGTTTTCAGGAAGGAGACAACATGTTCCTCTGAGGATGTGGATAACCTTGATTGGAGATCCAGTTGTAGTTCTTTGACATGTATTACGACCAAATGAGCATAAATCAAAGAATTATGAAAACATGCATGAATGTTCTAGAAGAGGAATGCAAATCCACAGAATGCTGCATGATACTTTGATACAATAACCAAGAAGTTCTGAATTTTGAGGGAACAAGGTCTGGCATCTTGTTTGAGATTGACTTGCATTTTACAATCAAGCCAAAGCCTTCCTTCATTTTTCTGATGAGAACATTAATTACCTATGATTAATGCAGAAGTAGATATGTGATACCATTGCAATTTGAAATCAAAAGAATTAATCCCCAAACCATTCTGATGGAACCAATGTCATGAAACATTGAAAACAAAGAAAGAGTCCCATGATGGAATGAGGGATGACGGACGGAGGAGGAGGCTGAGTAGGGGTGGGAGGTGATGCTGCCGAGGATGAAGGAAGGAAGGAAGGATTAACCCCTCCCACCACAGGAAGTCATCAATATGATAATCCTGTTCCTCTGACATCAGAGCTTTTATTTTTACAGATTGTAACAGCTTTCTTTGTTAGGGAGATGAGTATTAAATTTGTAGCCATGAATAATTTAGATTTAGATTTCATCCAGATGTTTGCTAAAACATTTCAAAGAAAGGGTCGGCTTAGTTCTTTCCGACTACTTCTTTCTACACAAAAAAGGTGCTAATTACCATTTGTATCTTGTCAGTTGAAACCCACTGATGCTTGCATGTGGGGGGTGGGGGGTGGTGGGGGTGGTGGGGGTTGTGGGGGTGGTGGGAGGGGGGTTCAATCTGAAGGACGAAATTATGATCTCAACAATTTAAGATTCTTAAAGATAATGTCACATGGCTGGTAAAGGAAGGACATTTCTGTGCAAATCTGAAATTATTATTCAGTTTCTTCTCATTAACATGCAATTTGACAATTAACCACAAAATTATAAATCTTATTTTATTATCTGCTATGAACGTTTAAATTCGAAATGAAACATCTAAATCAACATTAACAGCAAAAGTTTTAGTTGTGGTTAAATTCTGTAACATAATTTGGGCATTATCATGACAACCCTTAATTTAACAATTTACATGTGAATTGAAAACAGTACCGTCCAGGAGCTGAAGTTCTACCCAAAACACAGACATTGATTATCACTATGACATCAATTATCTCCGAGCTGAAGTCCATTGTTACAGGAAGTACAATCTTATCCCGAAACAGATCAGTTGACCAATTACAATGGATGGGAATTTATGAAACAATGAAACTTAACATAAACATTGATTAATTTAATGCTAATTGCAAATAAATTTATCCTTCATTTGGATAAAACAGATTTAATGACAAGTGCAAAGGATTAAGCTCATCTCCATCGAGGACAGATTCCCTGACCTTTGTAAAAGAGATGGGGACCATTAGACTTGTGACCTCTGCCAATGTGGACAATCTTCTTGACAATTTATTGTACTCCAGTGGCATTTAATGCTTGACAAGAAGAGCTGATGTCAAACAATTTTCTACTCAATCAACTTTCATCCTTCTTTTTCACAAATCTAGATCATGTGTGGAAACCATGAAATCATAAACTATTTTACCAATTATCAAATTAATTAAGAACGTGTGAGCAGAAAGACACTACTAGATAAGTGTCAAAAGTCCACTTGATCACATTAAGTTCACTGTATCATGATACATGTTTTCAGACTTATAAATATTCCAAGTTTAGACAAGTGTTCACAAAAACAATATGTTACCAATATCTTTTTTTGCAAGACATTAAATGGTGACAACCACTGACTTCGTTGATGCATGTCATCGTATCTCAATTGCGTAGATCGATGCTCATGATGTCAATCACTGGATTATCTGGTCCAGACTTGATAATTTACAGACTGCCGTCCAATAGCTGGAATATTGCTGAGGGCGGCATTAAACAACAAACAAACATAATCCTATACATGAAGAAACACACACAAGAACATTATGTTTGGAAAAAAAATGAAATAACACAAATCGTTGAATGTTGA